AGGTTTCAGAAGAGTCTTTCTGAAAAGAAAGTGCTTACTATTTTTTATCCATCCTTGTAATACCTGAATATCCTGCAGTGGTTTAGGGATAAGGAGCATGGAGACAAAAAATAAAGAGATGCAGATTTAGATAAAGGAGTCCGCGGTGAGGACAGGTCAGAAAGGCCATTTTACTATCGTAAGTAGCCTTCTCCGCGGTGCAGTTGGCACGCTATTAGCTATGGGCTCCCTCCCTCTCTCGCGTCCTCTCGTGTGTGAAGTCTCTAGCCGTGACAGGGAGAGGAGAGAGAAGAGCAATAGCGTCAAAGAGGGCGGCACAGATGAGAGTCACATCAAATGCGGAAACCAACAGGCAAGGAAGGGGTCTCTTTTCTCAGGTTCTGGGCTATTCTTGCGGTGTGTTTTTCTTCTTTCATATCTATCATTGACCATCTCTAGCTTAATTTCCTGTGGGTTGCCTTTTCATCGTTAACCCGCCTACGAAGACTAGATATTCTGATACGTTCCAAGCCACCAAGAAAATAAGGGTTGAAACTATACCTGGCGCTGACTACACTACACACGTAGAAGACGTTGGCACAATCAGCTCTTGTTAAATTGGTGAATCCAAGCTCGCCAAGAATCTTCTGCGTATTTTGGAACGTCGCTCTTTCTTCTTCTCCTCCATTTGCATCACTACAAATATTTCCGAATTTTGATGCCCCCTTAAAGCTTATAAGCTCAGAAATGAAGTCAACTCCGCTAATATTAAAGGCAAACCCCGGGATTAGCCCGACTTGTGGGAAGGATACCGCAAGGGAATTTGTAAGGTCCGTACCTACCTAGATCACTCCAGCTTCGTCGCAAAAATTGCGCGGTTAGGGCGCTACCTTACGGGCCTGCAACCATCGACAGAGATGGTAGACTCAGCGTGCATCGATGTGAGAGCGTGCTCTCTCAAACGACGCTCTCGCGTATTTTGTCTTCTTTGACCGCCCTGTCTCGCCATCGTACCACATCCGACCTTATTGAAGGTTAAGGCCTTAATTTCAGCGTTCCCAAAGATTTCTCTTGCTTTCCTTCCACTTTCAGGTCGTTCCGCAGCTAAGCTATCACTACGAAGCGCTCTTAGCACCAGTTTAATCCCGGGTTTGCCTTTGACTCGTCCATTGCCGCATCTGCGTCTCTTCCTTCGCCGCGCGATGGGCCTCTTGGGGGACACCCTTAAACATGCGATTAAGGCTTATCTATGAACGTAACATCGTACTAGAATAACTTTGTATGGGCAATATGAAGCGAGGTCTTGTTTGTGTGTGAAGTGAAGTTCTATTGAGTTAGTCCAAAAATCGCATAAACACACCTCTGAATATCTGAGATGAATCGTGTTGAGAATCGTCCTTTTTGTAAAAGCGGTGCAGTTTGACCACCAAGTAGAAGTCCTTGTTGTGCTAGCTCTTTCAGAACCGTTCGAACCACTTCACCCAGGTACATTCCAGAAATCATTTTTTCGAAGCTAAATGGGCCGTGCCAAAGCAGTATTGCTGCGTGGGATGGTAACTTCGAATTAGAACCTATCTAACATTTGTTTTCCTGGATTGATGCTGTTGCTATCGACTTCCTGATCGAACCTCGTGTGAACGAATTTCAATGATCCGTCATCGCCAAATGCTCCCCATTCCAAATTCATTACGATCTGCAATCAAACGCTAGTGGTTACAGTCCTTTAGGTTACAGTCCTTTTAGGACGCAATTTACATACGGTATGTATTATTGTAGAAGCGATTGGGTTTATGTACGTAGAAAACCGAGGATATAATAGGCTAGACTACTAGTGTCGTCTTCTCACAATTCCCTATCCCCTCTATGGTCAGAACTGATGGTACCGTTATTCACAGCATAACCCGCCCAATATGGCTTCATAGAAAAGCTCACCGGCGGCGCGGACGCGTTCGCGTGTTGGTGACGTCTCTTTGATGTCCATCAACACGCGGACTCAAACAATACACCCTTCAAAATTCTTACTCTATAGCGCGAGGATAGCATTTATGCGCAATCAAATCATTTCACTATCCTCACTATTGATTGCGTAATTTAATAAAGGGTCGGCAACCTCTTACTATTGGCTTGCATGCCCAGCTGTGATGGTCACCAGGCACAACGATTCGCGTCCGCGCTGTGAGCCTTTTTCTCTTTCTCCATCTGTCCGTGTCCACGGAACGTGAACGTCCATGTGGTTTACTTTTTATTGGTATTAATGTTATGCCGAAAGAGTATATCTCCAATTACACAACAAAACAGTGCTTGTTGTCCACTCTGCAAGAGATCCCAAATTCTAGATCCTCTCAAATGAAGAGGATCCAGTCAAAAAACAAGTTAACGAAGTCGAAAAGGGAGCCTCTAAAATAAATTTTTCTCGATGAGCAGTCTCTTTTGGATCGCAAATGGTCACCATCTCATTTGAACACTTCGCTATTAGGCATGCCAACAAGTTGTGTCATCCCTTTTCCAAACCTGCTTTTTTCAATTTTCACAGCCGAGGAGTGGGAAAATTACTGGAATCAGGTTGCTTGAAATGCAAGTCTGAGTGATTTTATCATCTGCAGGAAAATTCGTCGAGTGTTGGTCATTCCCCTGAACTGCACACCTTATGCAGGTAGCGCAATTTGCCTAATTCATGAAGACAAAAAAAATAGTATCAGCGGAAAAAAGCTGAATGGTAACACTTTATATAAAACAGTGAGGGGACGGGTCCCATCCAGTAAGCGCGCGCATGGTGCGTGAGCTGCTGCTCTCTACAGACATCCCAACTTTTCCATGGAGGGAGACCTCTGGGTGCGTGATCCACTTCGTTTCCGCTTTGACCCCTATCCCGGGGTTTCTCTCTCCTACGAAGAACTGGGCATTTTCAGGGATACGAACTGTACACAACCAGCGCCCTGACTCAATGAGACTCCGAATCGGATTTCAAGACGGAAAAGTTTCATTCAAAAACGCTTCGTTAGTGGCTCAACAAACCCCTGACTTGATGAGACCCCGATTGTTTTTTAGGCGAATAGTTTCATTTCAAAAACTGCTGTGTTAGCGTCGAACAAGAAAAACCAAATTCGCAAAGAAATATGACAAGACCCTATTAGCGGAATATGCGAGGTTGGCTTAAGTATGGGGTACGTTATTGAAGGATTTCTCCAGGGGACAGTAGAGTCAGAGCTACTTTTCGGTTGACTATTTTTCGTCGGCTGGAGCACCAGGATCAAAATTCAGCGCGTTGGCAATGAATGTGAAAAAGAAATACAGTAGCGGTCAAAAGTGTTCGCCGAAATGGCTTTTCGCGCAGTACCATTTTTTCTTTCAAAAATACATAGCTTTACAATTGACTGCAATTTTTTCTTTTCAATATCTTGGGCCTTCAAGTCTCGAGAATTAGAAATACCAAAATACATAGCATATCACTATTTCACGCAAATTCTACAAGGGAGTGAAAATAGCGCACGAGAAACTTTTTCGGCGAACACTTTTGACCGCTACTGTATACTGTATTGTAGAGCTGAAAAATCTATGTTAAGCATGTATGAAGTGATGTAAAAACATGTGAAATTAGCAGAAAATATTTCATTTGATAAAGCGACACTACTTATGGGACAAGCTGATAGCATAAGATAGCCAACTCACTTCATCAGGCAATCCATCGTCTACCAATTTCTCGTAGAGCTTCGGAATTCGTTCAATTTGCTCCATGTAGCAGGCGTTTGTTCCAGTACCGATAATTACTCCAATCTGTGTCATTCAAATTTTTCAGCTTAAAGGAGGATTCCACAATAAGGTCGGAGGTGGAAGAAATGGGAAACCTACCTAATGGAAAAATAGGGACACCCTAAGGGTGCGGATCGACACGCAATTCGCAGCTGAGGAGCCCCGGCAATCTAGCATGGCCGTCCCCGCGCCGCTTTCGTCGCTGCCCGTCCACCCCCGTCGCTGCTCGTCTGGCTCTAACCGCTCAGAGGAGAGAGTGTTATGTTTATGAGGTCAGCTCTGATGAATTACGCCCAACGCAGGCAAAAGGGGTCCCGTTTCTGGGATCTTAGGTTGTTTTCCTTTTGCTTCATCC